TTTTTTTCATGTTCCAAAGGTTGTAGTATGTTCCTAGATACTGACATGTGATATTCTGGCAGTATCTCTTGTCATATAGGCCTATGTACAGTACACAATTATTTTCATAAAAATTACTGTACGCAAAGTTTTTTTGTAGGTTGTAGTACATTTGCAGTTACGAGATTGACTTATGATTTGTGAAATTTTGCTCATACCTCCTTTTCTGTATGTACAGCACACAAATATTTTTTAGAAAAAAATATAGTAATTTATCAATAGGTTTTTTTTATGTTCCAAAGGTTGTAGTACACTCTTAGTTACAAGACTGACTTACTACAGGTGAGATTTTCCAATATCTCATTTACTGTATATACAGTGCACAAATATTTTTAGGAAAAGGTTGTAGTGTTTTCTTATTTACTAGACTGACTTACTACAGGTGAGAGTTTGCAAATATCTCCCTTACTGTATGTACAGTACACAAATAGTTTTAAAAAACTACAGTTATTCACCAAGAGGGTTTTATCATGTTCCAAAGGTTGTCTTATATTTAGTCAGTTTTGCCCACTAGTAATTTACCAATAGGTTTTTTTGTTTTGTTTCATGTTCCAAAGGTTATACTACAGTAATTTTTATGAAAATAATTGTGTACTAAAGCAGCCTAGTCGAATATGAAATGTGAAACTAACTTTACCGCGCGGATGAAGGTTATGATGACAGAACAAGACAGATGAAAGAATAAGATGACAGTTAGGACGACAGTAAAGATGACAGAACAGGACCACAGTTAGGACGACAGTAAGGACGACAGAACAGGACCACAGTTAGGACGACAGTAAGGACGACAGAACAAGACGACAGTAAGTAGGACAGAATAAGATGACAGTTAGAATGACAGAACAAGACGACAGAACAAAATGACAGAGAAAAAGCAGGCAGGACGACAGATTAAGACAACGTCAACAGACAACATACACACCAACATATACTGATTTACCTGAACAAGTAGGCAATGACTGTAGACAAAGAAATGTATAGTACAAAGCACAAAGCAGTCGACTCATTTTTGACACAAATGGAACCTCATACAGGATCTGGTGTAGCAACCCATGGTGCAGCATATTTCATCTAATATATGCTATAGACAGGTAGTGGTCAAAGTATTGCTAAAACAGTTCAAAAGTGTCACCATAAACCCCACTTCTGCTGACCTACTTTTGATAAACATGAGTGAACTTCTATTAAAACATTTTATGTATTCAGGTCAAGCAATCTAAGAAATGTTTTTAGAAGATTAAATACTTTTTGAAAGTAATGGATATACTAACATTTAAATGAGTTTAATACATGTAGTTACACTGTGTATATACAGTGGGTACGGAAAGTATTCAGACCCCCTTAAATTTTTCACTCTTTGTTATATTGCAGCCATTTGCTAAAATCATTTAAGTTCATTTTTTTTCCTCATTAATGTACACACAGCACCCCATATTGACAGAAAAACACAGAATCGTTGACATTTTTACAGATTTATTAAAAAAGAAAAACTGAAATATCACATGGTCCTCATATGATATTAATATAGAAAGAGAGTTAAATATGTTTAAACCATATTTAAAAAAAATTACAGGAGTGCAAAGCGATGCAACATGTAATGAAAAATGCAAAATAACATATTATAACATAATAAAATAAATAAAATATAACATGATATAATATAAATTATAATATAATACAATACAATATAATATATGGCTTTCCTTCAGCATGGTGCTAGAAACATTAAGGTCATAATATAATGTAATATAATATAATATAGCCCGTAAGGATAAGGAATGATTTTGAGGAAATTCAATAAAAAAAAAAATTCAATAAAATATTGACAAGGCTTTCAAAATAAAAATGTAGGAATAAAATCAGCTCATTCATTCTATTTTGCATCGCACTTTTTAATGACATTTATAAACATACGTATATTAATATCACTGAGGGAAGACTCACATTATAATAATAATTAATAAACGAAGAAGGTATTAATATACAATGCTGTCTTTTCCCCCCTACACATAATTCCCACAGACAATTTACCAGGACAAGTGCATTTTATTTATCAGCTTTGCCAGAATTTACCAGAAGCGTAGGATAGTAAATAATTGACCTGAAAAAACACCTATCACCGAAATGACTGGAATATGTAACTCAAAAGACCAGTTACCTAAGAGACATACTTTCCAGATGAGACCCTAAATCCCAGTCACGTTTTTCAGTGTTGGGGAAAGGAGGGGGAGTCTGTCACGAGAGGAACCAAACTGACAGCAGATTTAGGTTACACTTTAGCGAAAACAAATAATAATCGTATATTAACAAATAATAATAAATAATTAGTAAAACAAATACATAGAATAAACTTTCTGAAGTAGAACAATAGAGTAAGAACGTTTCTTTGGGGCTTATGTAGGCTATGAAACCATATATTAAAGAATCATATAAATAAAATATGATTCATCAAAAGTCAGTATTATGGTTTTCTACACACTTATAGCTGAGAATCAAAAACATATGATTTACGAACGAATGACTCTTGTGAACCGAATCAAAGCACTTATGATTCAATCAGTCGGATTACTAATGAATTAATTTGACTCGTTTACTGAAATCGCAAATGAAGTACTTAAAATAAACCAAAAACTGCTCTGAATAGTTGGCCATATGGCAATGTGTTAAAGACACACATCAGGAGTTGTGGTAGTCAATCAGTAAATAAAGAAATAACTTGATTAAACATCTTAAATCACATTTTCAGTTTGTTTACTGTTTTATACAATATACAGTTATGGCCAATAGCATTTATGCCTCCTTTTAAATAGTCAATACACTTGTAAAGATTATTTTCTGCTTTTTTGTGTTGAACAACACAAAGCTGAGGGCAATACATTTCTATATATTTTTTCCCCACAAAAATAAAGGGTGGCGCGTGGCGGAACAACCAAAAGATGAATCGCAAACAGAACAGTTCTATATAATTTCCACCGTTATACACAAATGTAAACACAATAGGCTAAATCATCGATTTAACGCATTTTTCGGACAAAATCAGATTCTTTTATTATGGCCATCGGTGGAGGTTAGGAAAATACATATTTAAAAAAAAAAAAGTATGCCATATGAAAGATACAAAGTTTCCGAAAACACAGAAAATAAAAAAAATCGACAGTAGCATGCGAATACACACATTAAGACATTTACCGTTATACGCAACCGGAACAACCAAAACATTTAACGTAAAGAACTAACGTTAGCATAGCCACAGCTGACTGAATGTGACGGCAGCCAATCTGCCAAAGGCCTCGCAAAATAACTACAGCACAACATACTACATGTTAAAAACGTGAATATCAGTCACATTAAAACCAGAACATGTGGTAAAAAGCTGCGCTAAAGCCCGAAATGTGGCAAGGTGAGCAGTTCCGACGAGCCTCTGCTCGGGTTTGCTTCAGTTCGCTCTACTGAACTACTGACCTAGTTTCGCTGCGAACGCGAGTGTGCAAACCAATCAGCGGGGAACACCGAGAGCTCCCTCTCCTCCGCCCGGCACTCAGCGCACTCTACACCAACTCTCTCCGCTTCAAGCGGACCCGGCTAGGGTGAACTAACTTGTATTGTTTTAAGCGGCGAGTTACCTGGCTTTTCCCCCGTCGCTCCGTCATCGCCGCCAGCCGCTGTATTCCTCGCCGACATGGCTGGAGCCGGTACGCCGGGGCCCAGTACTCCGATGCTTCATGTGGAGAACGAAGGCGGTGGTAGTTATTTGCAAAGGGGGGAGAGAAAGAGGAGAGGTGAAGGCGGAGGGGGGGACGGCGAGGCCGGTATAATTGATTTAATTTTTTTCTTTACAATTAACTCAATTGGGAGGGTGGGCCGAGCGTAAAAACGTGCAAGGAGAGGACACGATGGAATCAGGACAGTGGTTGAAATCCGGGGAAACGCGGAAGACGACGACGCACAATCTCCTCCTACCATCATCAACACCGCCTTCTCTGCTGTCCGTTCCCTCACGTTACTAACCTAGCAAGTCACGCGATATGTTATGCAAGCCGAGAAAAATGCGGTCACGGTCGGATGCGATGGCGGTATGCGGTACTGAACGAGTGCCGGTCAGTCATCTTTTCGATTGCTGCAATGTAATTCGACCATATATCGCATTCCGTTCTTGCACCATCATATATATTTAGACTAGAACTGTCTGTTATTTTGAGGCTGAATGTACGTAAGTAACATATTGATGATTTGTTGGGGTAAGAAAATGATGTTACAAAAAAGCAGACCAAAAACTATATCTATTCGGTTTGTTTAAAAGTGTCAAAATATTTGATCCTATATCTAATCTTAACATTCTTGACAAATTCCCTATTTGTCTGAAAAATAAAAAATCAAATAGTTTAGAAATAGCCTACTTACAGCTTACCTAAACGGTGTAAATTAGTGTCAAGTAGCTTACAAAGCATAACAAGAAACCACCACATTTTATATTTCGTGTATGAATTTTACTTAGGTCTATTTTATTTTATCCGTTGTGGCAATCAATTTTACCTGTTAATTTTGAGTAGACTCATCATGTTGTACAAATGAAACAAATTTTACTGGTAGCCTAAATCTGATTTTTGAATAAGCTTGTCAGTCAGACATTTAGGCAACTCTTTCATGTTGTAACAGACTAAACTGAATTAGTAGGGCATCCTTGGTTTTATTAATTTAATGATAATACCTTTGAAATAATAAATAAAATGGAGTAAGCCTATTGCTCTAGGCTATAAATAACAATAGCGCCCTTTATATATAATGGCATTTTCATTAATTTTGCTAAAGGAAACTATTGTATATGTCATTTTTTTGTTTTTCTCACATGAAAAAATAAATAAAGACTTTGTTCTCAAAGCGGAATTTGTTTTTATATTGACTTGAATCATCACTGTGATCTAAAGATGCTGTGTCGTCTGTATTCTATTTGATAAATAAGTCCATGGATTCATTTTATGAATGTGTCTTTGCATTGTTTTTTGATGGTTGAAACCAAAAACTCTTCTTCATGGCCTGATTACAACTTTCACACCTGTTATGTGCATTGAAACGATTGAGTAACCAACTCTGAAAGAAAAAAACAGACGCTCGCGCCAGCTAGTGGACAAGAGATGCACATTTTAATCATTTTTATTTTCCGCTATTGGTCCCTGAAAATAAACGCAGGTGATCTGATCTCATATGTAGCTGCAACTGACTTTATTATAACAACACACATACCCACAAACGTAACTCCTTTAAAAAAAAAAAATAGCAATGTTTTATTATTAGCACAATATTTCTTTGAAAACATAAGCTTCAGTGACTTTTAAAATTATTATTTCCAGTTCTAGGAAAGTCATAGAAATGTATTGGATATAAATTTGCTCAGCTTCCCTGATTTCTCTATGATGATGATGATGATGATGATTTTAAAGCCGTTATATTGATTGTATGGCTTGGAGAATCATAAACCCTGAGAATCATAAAACCATAAGCCTAAATTGTGGAAATTGAGACATTAATCGAGCATATTGCATACAGAAAACAAGAGTCATAGTTCAATGATGCAAATGAATACTTAATGTGACCACCGCTTCAAAAAGTCCATACATTTGACATGTACGATGCATCAGCACAGAGGAAGACAAGTTGTTGAACTGGGCAGCAAAGATTTGAAAAGAGATATTAGATATTAGAGATATTGTTTCTATTTATGGATATAGTGTAAGGATAGGGTAATAGATAAAGGCATAGTTCTACAACCAAGTAGTTATTAAAAAAAAGTACTGACATCATTTGAGCAAAAATTGGCTTGGCAGCTGCACATTGGCTCTTGTGAACCACTAGATGTCACTCTATTCTTTAAAAACAGAAAGTACCTTGGACCAGAGTGTGCTTTCAAGATACACTATACTATTAATATCAAATAAATAACTTCAGTACAAGTTTATGGGGCAGTGATGTGGCACTTTTTCGTAAATACATTAAAATTAATCAACAGATTCAAACAATGACTTGGAAACCTCTTTGCTCATGAAAGAATCAGCGGACACAAAATAAGAGTTGTGTAATTTTACAGAGATTAAAGAAACATTTATTACAAGGCTTAAATCTCTCTCTAAAAAAACGAAAAAAAGAAACATTGGCATATGTAATAAACATAACCTTTTATCATTAATGGATAAATATTTTTAGGAATGTTTAGGAATAAAAGCAAATGTACAGTTTTGTTCTAAAATATTACTAAAATTTGGGGGAAAAAAAAAAACTTTGCCAAACCAAAGTCAATCTGTCAACCTGTTTTGTTGTCATGTAAAGAGAAAACAATAAAATCTGTTAAAACCTTCATGACAGTGTGTTCAGGTCAGTATGTGTAAAAAAAAATGGTTTGCTGAAAACGAGTATGTGCAATATAAGTGGGCAGTTATTTTTCCACTATAAGTCTGCACTGTACATTAACATTGCAGGTGTAAACCAACACCACAATGTAGAGTTCAGACCTGCAGACCAAGACTTTTACATTGAAGATTTTCCTGTGCACACTTATTTTTTTATTATACTGTATTTATTTTTATTTTTATTATTGTTTTGGTTCACATTTTGTAGATAAAGAACCTTCATTTGCATGAATGCATGTGTTCATTTTGATTGTGGAAAATAGTAAATCCCTGTTTCTCAGTTATTTATGACCTTTGCATTGAGTGGCAGACCTTCAGTGAGGAAGCTCCAGATTTTATTCATGGAAAACAGACTATTGAGGCTCCTAAAACAAGCATCAGTGAAACACAGCCTGAGAGCCGTGCAGACTACCAATGCATTTTTTAGACCTCAATATCTGAATTTTTAAAGCACACTACATTTTTGATGATTATTGCATAAAAAAGGTACAGCCCTTCACTTACAGAAGCAATAGAATTAGATTGCATATGTGACTTTTGTGCATCAACTACAGTGCAACGGCCCTCACAGTTTAAACCTTTATATCGGTGTTTGGTTGTTGACGTTGATACATTTGACCCATGAACCCCTGGAACTGTTTCTCGGGATAAGGGTTAAACTGGGACTAGAGGACGCAGTGTCTTGTTACACCTGCTCGTATTATACAACCCCGAGCCTGCAATTCTTGACGTCACGGTCAATATTTAATGAGCTCTGCTAGTCACTCTTTTTGGCCTGCTTTCGTATGGGCAAGACCAAGAAGGGAGGGGTTGGAGAAGAGGCAGGTGTTCGGCATCTTCTGTCACTGTCTGTGAGGGAGCTGAGGAGAACGCCGGAGTTTCCATTATTGATGTATGCCAACATAACATTCACAATGCCAATACATTGACCCGAAGACACCCGGATTTGCCCCATTTCTCTCCTTGTGCCTCGTTTCTGGATGCTCTTAGCCCAAACCGCATGAAGGATTGTACCCAGACCGTCCAAACCAAAGTCCCTCCTCTTCTTTCTCTCTGTTCCGTCTCTGGCTCAGCATCTCTCCTCCTCCCCTCCAGCACACCTAGACCATCTCAGTCCAGCACAGGAGAGGATGTGCACCAGCGTCTAGTGGATATCCTGCTCTTTTTTTCTGCAAGAGCAGAAGTGTGAGAAGACAAGTGTTTGAGGGACAGAAGAGCAAGGGAAGGAGAAATGCCACTGGGGGGGTTTGCGGGTCTAAAGGAGAAGCTCAAACCGGGGAAGGAGGAGTTGAAGAACAGTGTGGGTGACTCTCTGGGGAACCTGCAGAAGTAAGTGTGAAGGCAGTTGAATTGAAGTCTAAGCGCTGAGAGGAAGATATGAGAAGATTGCTTGCTTATATATACTGCATCAGGCTTTTGGTATTGAATTAAATTCAATTATGGGAAGGGATTTAGAATTTAGAATTGAGAAATCAACTTAAAATGTATTGAGCAGCTGATTTCTGAGATAAAACAATCATATTCCATAAAAAATATAATTGAAAAAATGGCAATAAAGTACATAGTGTAACTATACAGGACTATAATATATAGAACTATGCATTATAGAACTATATTATGTTTTCAAAGATTTGTGATGAGGGATGTTGGTAGTATAATTGTATTAAAAAATATGTTTTAATGTTTGAAAAACTGTTTTCATTCAGAGTATTTCTACATTGCAAATTGTTTCTCAAAGAAAGTAAATCTTAAATTATTACGTACATTCTTATAAATATTCATATCAAAATGTTGCCACAGGATATCTTTGCTTGTCAGGGCATCTAGAAATATCACTACATTATTATGCAAAAACATAACATATTCACTTTGTATCTTGGCCAGTAATTTAAATGTTATCCAGTTTTCTAGGTGTTTTCATACATATTTAATATCTAGTACATTTGAAGAGATTAGAAACCTGAAGATTTCACATTAGAGCGAAATACAGGTCACATATTTCTTGCACATTAGACAGCTTTATATGCGAGATAATGTACATAATTTCCTGTGTCTGTGTAATATTGCCAGGAAATCTCTTAGAGCTTGTAGAACTAAAACTACACAATATAGAGGGGAAAATTAATATATGGGTGCACACTAAAGTCATGCATATTTATTTTAATCCCTACTTTTAAAATTGCTTAATTTTGCAGAATTTCATGCAGATTTGTGTATAAACTAAGCATGCATAAAATGCACCATAATTGAATTAATAAGACAAAGTAGAGCATTATAATAAGTGCTCAAGAGCAATGCCATCTCCAAAACAACAAATATTAAAATATTTTGTATTAATATAATTAATTACAATAGCAATGACAACAATATCTAGTAGAGTACCTGCTTTTGAAAATGTACTGAAATTTAGTAAGGGTTTTGGCTGTTTGCCACAGACTTTATTTGAGATGCAATGCTATGCTCAGATAGAATGACATCTAAATATTTTCCTTTTTTCTTCTTCTTATTTTTACTTTACTTGTGGTAAAGTATATTGAATAATATATTGCCTTGGCTGGATGATTATAATGTAAAAGCTGTAAGGTTGGTTCATGGTAATCCTTGCACATGGCTTTATGATGTTAAGAGGTGATACTGTCCTTTTCTGGCCAATTTTCTCCACATCTACGTCATTATATTTGACTTTTATTTAAAAAATGTAATCTTATGGCAATTTAAAAAATCTATACGGTCTCATGCTGTTACTAAAATCAAAATGATAAGAAGTATCTACAGAGTTTAGAATTAATTTAAAACAAAAGATATGATATGGAAAAACAAAACAACATATGGCAACAATTCTTATCTGAATACGTGTATGTATTGTTCACAATAGAAAAAAATGCATGTGATCCATTTCGAGAGTGTACCAGAGCAATACTTCACCTTAAAGTGGCTTATGTGCAATAACAATGCTTCACAAACATCAGGAACAGGCTCTTGAAATGATGCTTCTTGATCCTCCATTCACAATCCTCCAGTGTCCAGCTTTTAGTGAGCTCCTTCCTCTGTGTGTAGAAGAACTCAGGTGTGCATTTCAAAATAGACAGATGAAAGTAATTCCTGTGAGGTGGAGGATGAGAGGAAAGATGCAGGTTCAGTAATGGAACAGGTGCGTGCGGGCGAGATGGAGGGAGCACCAAACGCAATGTGACCTTTTCAACGCCACACTCTGGCAACCCTTGCTGGCCCCCTCCAACTCCCAGTCCATCAGTACATCATTCATAAATATGGGTATATCACTTTCAAACAGCACTGAGTTGAATCTAGATCAGCTAAAGCTACATTTGCAATCCAAAAAGAGGACCCGTTTTGGTTTATACATCAGTTATGGAGTGATATTTAATTTTTTATCTTTTTGTCTACTGCAAGCCATGACTATTTCTAAACCATTTTATATCCTACGGTAGGAAGATCGATGGTTCTAATGCAGCTGAAGAGGACAACATTGAGCTGACAGAAGATGGTCGGCCAGTGGCGGCCCCTAAACACAGCTCACCCTTTTTTGATTGTGGCTGCTTTGGCCTCCCCAAACGTTACATCATCGCCATCCTCAGCGGACTTGGCTTTTGCATCTCGTTTGGCATCCGCTGCAACCTCGGTGTAGCCATTGTAGAAATGGTTAACAACAACACTGTCTACATCAATGGGACTGCCGTCATGCAGGTGAAACTAGGAACATATAAACTGAAAATACCAAATTACCTTTAAGTTAGAACAAGGGAATTTTTAGGTAAAGGGATAGTTCACCCAAAAATGAAAATATTGTCATAATTTACTCACTTACATTTACTCACCCTCATTTTGTTCCAAACATGTATGAATTTCTTTGTTCTGTTGAACACAAATATTTATTTTGATATCATGATATCATGACAGATATTTTGAAGAATGTTGGTAACCAAACTGTTGCTGGTAGCCACTGATTTCTATAGTATGGAACAAAAAATACTATGGAAGTCATGGAATAACATAAGTGTGAGTAAGTAAGTACATAGTAAGTAAATAAATACAATTTTACCACGCTTACCAAATTTAACATTCTCTTATATCTTATCTTTATTTTTATTAAATTGTTCTATTGACAACTCTGCTTTTATCAGTAATAAAATAAAAATAAAAAACGTATATATAGTGTATCTATTTTCTAACAACACACACACACACAGTCATGTACAAACTGTCAACTTAATATAAGTAAATATTTTACAGATAATATTTTACTTATATTTGCTTAATTTTATCATGCTTAATATTTTTCTCAAACGGTAAATGGGTATATATATATATATATATATATATATATACATACATGAAATTATACATATTTTAAGAGTGGGTCCCTAGCAATCATATTCAGGGGTCCTTGGCTTGAAAAAGTAAAAAACAAAAAAGGTCTAGATAGGCTCTTTGACTTTTTCAGCTATCAAGTTCAAAGGACCGATTATCTTTTTTTCTGGCTTGAATTCTCATTAGTGACTTTTTAGGTAGTTGGCTGCCACAATTTCCTGTAATAAGAAATTTTAGGAGGAAGACATGACTCACACACACACACACACACACACACACACACACACACATACTCAGAGGTCATTTTACTATGAATGTCTTACGATTACTCATTTTTATATCATACACAGAAATGTGCATACAAAAGGTTTTTGTATTTTTTATTAATTATATAAAGCTAACATGGTCTCCTCTAATGCTTGTCTCCTTCAGCCAGCTCAGTTTAATTGGGATCCAGAGACAGTGGGATTGATACACGGCTCTTTTTTCTGGGGCTACATTGTCACTCAAATCCCTGGAGGTTTCATCTCCAATAAGCTAGCAGCTAACAGGTGAGCCTCGTCTTGACGCACGGGCCTCCACACCACGTTTGGAAGGCAGACGTTTGTTCCATAATACAACTCTCATATTACATTCAGTGTTGAAAGGTGTCTGAAGACCCAAGGGACCACACAAGTGCAGTGGTCAGGGCTGCGAGGGTTAAATTTGTGCCGTGTGTTGATTAGAGGGGCGATAGCGGTCTTGTAATAAAAGCCTCACAGGAAAAGAGGACACGTGGCTGACAGAGTTAATAATGAAAGATCCAGCAGTAGATCTCTCGCTGAAACACCAGCCACTGGAATATTACAAGTGTCACTTACACACTGTTTTGGAAAAAAAAAGCGATGGATGGATTAAATGGAGATAAAGGACAAGTGAATGAACAAAAATGACTCTCTTCTGTTTGATCCAGTGATGATGCGCCAGCTAGCATCATGCCTATTCAAACTGATGGGTTTTTCTGCAAAGTGGATTTTGAATGGGAAAAAAAGGTCTTTGGTAATTAGTTTGCCAAAATTTTGAAGGTAAAGATTTCATAATTTGATCAGTACAATCAAGTTGGATATCCAATCAAATCTGCATATACATGATAGATCAGGGTTTGAACCCAGGCCCCTGTAGATGCTAATTAAAAGCTGTACCAATGCTATTTTAGAATCTTTGAGATACTTTTATAGCTTTTATTAATATTTTATTATTAGTTTTTTTTGTTTTAGTAATTTTTATAGACTACATCATTTTTATTTTTGTTTTAGTTTTAGTTATTTTAGTACATCAAGTAAAACTAAATGAAATTGATAAATGTTGCCTTTTTAAAATTTTTATATTTTATAACTATAGTATATATATAGAGTTTAAATGTTTTCCTTTGATCATGTCTTAATGAAATACATAAAGATCCAGACTAAAACTAAAAATCTTAAATTATTACTCTAATATTCATTGACAATGATGGTTGCACTCGTGCTTCAAACTAAATTCTGTGCATTTCTAATGCATTTTGATATTATTTTGTGATATGAAATCCTCATTACAGTATCAAGTTACAAAATTACTCTCTAGGTGTCACTAACTCATCACTTTATATGATGTCAAGAAGAAACATATTTTATGATTAATGTCTTTCAGAATTTCAGGACTGATGATAGAGTTATTCAATTCAGTTATTCAGATAACATTATGGAATTAGGTACTTATCCTCCTCACTGTGTGCTTTTCCACAAAACATTATTTATATAAATCTACATTATTTAAGGCCACATTATGTTTTTATATGGCTTAATTTTGACTGAATCCATTAACTAACATTACTAAATATCTCTGAATTATTCTCAGGGTGTTTGGAGCAGCCATTTTCTTGACGTCAGTGCTAAACATGTTTATTCCATCAGCTGCCAGGGCCCACTATGGCTGTGTCATGTTTGTGCGAATCTTACAAGGACTGGTGGAGGTGAGTGGCCCCCAGTGACCTCATCTTTAAACACGTCATAAAATATTTACTTTTTATTATTAATTTACATTTGACATAACCTTTGTAAACGCATGTATGCGTTACATATGTAAACATAACATATGTAAACACATCACATATTCATTTTAAATGGTATGCTATTGATCAGTGTATTTAAAGCAGTAATACATTCAAAAATGACAATTCTGTCCATTTACTCACCCTCATGTCATTCCAAACACATATGACTTCTTCATTTCTGGAACACAAAAAGAGAAGAGAATGTTTATACCATCTTCGTTTCCAAGTGAATGCTGATATTCGACCTCCAAATACTATTAAAGCACCATAAAAGTAGTCGTGAAGTATATACTAGGCCAGTGGTTCTCAAACCTGTCCTGGAGTACCCCCAGCCCTGCACATTTTGTATGTCTCCCTCATCTATCACACCTGATTCAACTCATCAGCTCATTAGTGGAGACTGCAAGACCTGAAGTGGGTGTGTCAGATATAGGGAGACATACAAAATGTGCAGTGCTGGGGGTACTTCATGGACAGGTTTGAGAACCACTGTACTAGGATATCGTTTAAAGCCATACATAGTTTTTGAGTGACGATTGAAATTTAAGTCATGATTCATTATTCATGATGTCATTATATGGGTGAACTGTTCTTTTAAGTATTAATCGGTCAGTAGAATTGCCCATTTTGATGAAAGAAAGAAAGAAGTGAAGTGAAGTGAAAGTGACATGTGGCCAAGTATGGTGACCCATACTCGGAATTAGTGCTCTGCATTTATCCCATCCAAAGTGCACACACACAGCAGTGAACACATACACACCATGAACACACACCCGGAGCAGTGGGCAGCCATTTTTGCTGCGGCATTTTTGCTGCGGCTGCGGCGAAAGAAAGCATACTAACCGTGCATAATGTTCACAGGGTGTCACATATCCAGCCTGCCATGGGATGTGGAGCAAATGGGCTCCTCCACTGGAAAGAAGCCGTCTGGCTACTACATCGTTCTGTGGTGAGTAGGTTTGTGAGAGAATATTTTATTGAAACTGTCAGGAGACACTTAATGTAACAGAACACATCGAGGTGTTTTGTTCTTGAATGAATCAATATTTGAACGAATCGTTTGAGTAAATGATTCAATGAGTTACTCACATAGAATCACTTGCTGAATTCGCAACCGCATTTTATGATGTATTTCTATAGCAGGAATAGTAAGAGTAGTACGCGGTTCCGAATTCAGCTTGTTCATTTGTTTAATTATTGAATGAATCAATATTTTAACGAATCATTTGAATGAATGATTCAATGACTCACTCATAAAGACATGTGGACACCTTCTGGTGTCAAGATATAACGTGCAGAAAATGACTAAAAAACGTCCAAATGTTTCCTCTGTTTTACTGTTCTGATGTTCATCACTCTCTGCTTTTTTTAAATACCAAATGTAATGTTCCTGTTATACAAATGTGTCTGTATCTGCGTCTGCACGAGAAGTAAACACTCAAGACAGATGCTCAAAAATCATGCTCACAGTCCAGCTGACCAGTCGATTGTGGGTCTATATTCCAATGCTCATTACACCTCAAATGCATTAAAACAGCCGTCTTTCACAATAAACAGGTGCCATGACAACCTGTGCTCCAAACAGCTCTTGACATGACCACTAAATGAAGATGGTCTGCACACAGCTTCACCTTCTGTTTGTGAAAGAGGCTTTCTTCTGTTGACACAAATGAAGCAGCACCCTCTCCTGTGTTCAAAAGCTCACGCGAGAATCCTTTCCTACGCCAAGCAGGAAGGTTTACAAGTGCATCAATAAAATATACATTAAGACACCTTTTCATTAAAATCCCATTTCCTGCAGCTGCCAGCCTGTCCTTCAGGCAGAGGCACGTGTTGGTCTGGAGTTGTTGCACATGTAACTGAGCAGACGTGAGTTTGATGAAGGACTTGAATCCTGGCATTGGCATTTATTGCTTAAAAAGTTCTTATAGCTTGACAGCTTGAGTAATGACAGAATCATCATTTTTGGGTGAACCATTCCTTAAAAAAGTCCTCCAAATACAGGTGCATCTCAATAAATTAGAATGTCGTGCTGAAGGTAAATTTAGAAGTTACTACATTAAAATGAACAAAACTAATTCTGCTCTCTCAAAGCTGAACCAAACCAATCATGCCAGTTTTCCTCTGGCAGTTATGAGGCAGGCAACCCCCGCAATGGCTTCAAATTATTGAACTGTCATGTGAAGGGATTATTGCAGGTTGATTAATGCCCTCTCTCTTAATTTAACTTTCTTAATTACGCCTTTGTGTGTGTGTGTGTGTGTGTGTGTGCGTGTGTGTGTTCTGGTTGACAGGATCGTATGCAGGAGCTGTGATAGCCATGCCACTGGCTGGAGTATTAGTGCAGTATGTAGGCTGGCCCTCTGTCTTCTATATATATGGTGAGTTTAGGGTAAGCCTTTGAAATGTTTTGGTAAAAAATGACACTGAAAATGAAAATTTGAGTGATGACATTTATTAACTGATTTGCACTTTGACACATTTGTCAGACTTTAATCAATCAAAATAATTTACATTCATATTAGTGCTGGGCAATGATTAATCGCGATTAATCACATCCAAAATAAACGTTTTTGTTTACATAATATATGTGTACCGTGTATATTTATTATGTATATATAAAGACACACACATACAGTATATATTTTGAATTTATATTTATATATATTTTTGTTTATATTTATATTATATAAAAATATATTTAATATATAAACATAACATATTTTTCTTAAATATATACATGCATGTGTGTGTATTTATATATACACAATGAATATACACAGTACACACACATATGTAACCAAAAACGTTTATTTTGGATGTGATTAATCGTGATTAATCATTGCCCAGCACTAATTCATATTAAATCCCAGTGGATCACTTTGAACTGAACTGAATCAAATCAAGCTTAATTCAACTAAATAGAATGGAACGGAACTGAACTGAACTGAATTGAATAAAGGTTAAAAAGGGGGGTTTGCAACAAATGCCATAAAAGAACCATTTAGGAATCCTCAAAGAACTTCTCTTTTTTTCTTGATTTTTTTTTTTACATTTTAATAATCTAAAGAACCTTTAATAAAGAAAATGTTGTCCAATGAAAAGTTTTGATGGATATTCTTTATGGTACCACAGATGCCAATAAAGAACATTTACTTTTAAGAGTAACAGTAACATGATATAAATACAGAGCGAGTTACCGTGAATAGATGGCAAAAAGTAGCAAATCTATGAGTCACTAAATATACTGCATTTAGTGAACCCTTGATGTCCACTGTAACGTGTTCATTTGTAATGTTACATTTCAGAGATGCAGTGTTAAAGTGTGGTTCTGTGCTTATATCCAGGTGTGTTTGGCATAATATGGTATAGTTTTTGGCTCTTGCTGGCTTATGACAGTCCAGCAATCCATCCCACTATCAGTGAGGAAGAAAGGACATACATAGAGGCCTCTATTGGGGAAGGAGCCAATTTAATGAGTTCTACCGAGGTAGTCCAAAGTCTTCTTTCATGCATTTGGTATAATAAACTGTAAAACTTTATATATATATTCAATTTTATATTAAGATGACAATGTAATATCCTAAACTACTTTGTAAAAACTGCTTTTTTTCTCTCTTTGCAGAAATTTAAAACTCCTTGGCGTGAATTCTTCACATCTATGCCTGTCTACGCAATCATTGTGGCAAATTTCTGCCGTAGCTGGACCTTTTACCTCCTGCTCATTAGTCAGCCAGCTTACTTTGAAGAGGTCTTTGGGTTCCCCATCAGCAAGGTGGGCTGTTATGTGATTTAAAGTTACAGAATCCTCTGTTAATTTAACAACCACAATTCACTCTAGAAATAGGCTAGCTACATGATGTCGGGGTGTTTCAGGTGGGCATTCTGTCAGCGGTGCCACACATGGTGATGACGATCATTGTGCCGATAGGAGGCCAGCTGGCTGACTTCCTGAGGAGTCGGAAAATCCTCTCTACTACAACCGTGCGCAAAATTATGAACTGTGGAGGTAGGCAAAGTCCCAAGCTCACACCATTGGTTGAGTTCTTGCTTTTAAAGGCCTGTTTACATTAATAAAGATAACTATAAAGACATAGTGTTGACTGACCCTTAAGGGCCATTCACACATTTTTGTAAAAATGCAATACGCAGAGCAGTGGAATGGAATGGAAAAAACGAAAGGTCTAGAGAGAAATTTTTAAAGTTGAACTTGTCTTTTTGGAACGCTGTGTCGTGTGCAAGATAGCTGATGACTAACTTCTGCCATCATCCACAGGTTTTGGCATGGAGGCCACGTTGCTCCTGGTGGTTGGGTTCTCACACACACGTGCAGTGGCCATCTCATTCCTCATCCTGGCGGTGGGCTTCAGTGGATTTGCGATATCAGGTGACGCATGAGACAGGTGTCAGTCATCAGAGTGTCAGTCAACATAATCCTCTGTCATTTGGCTTTGTTTGATTCTAACCTTTCTTTGTGCTTATGCCACATCTCCAGTTTCAATAACGCGGGTTGCTCAGTTGTAATAAAACAACTAAGTAGAAAGTGCCTGATGATAGAAGCTGGAGTATTAGTTTCTAAAATTACACAGAAGAAGATCTAAATATGTGAAATGTATTTCTATTCTTTGACACAGGATTCAATGTAAACCATCTGGACATAGCTCCTCGCTATGCCAGCATTCTTATGGGCATATCTAATGGAGTAGGTACCCTGTCTGGAATGGTGTGCCCCCTCATTGTCGGAGCACTTACCAAACACAAGGTATTTAACTTCATCTGCTTATGCCTGTGCATAGAAAAACACAATACTATATGCACAAGGAATTTTTTTAACCTAAGAGATACAATCACACGCAAATAGCTTCCTTCTTTCATGATGAAGTCATTTTCCTTATATTTGATAAGGGGAATTTTTAAGTGTGTAAATATTCCTGGTTATTCAAAAATATGACATGAATATATATATAGCATTGGTGCTCAACTAGGGGGCATCAGCACACTTCTAAGGGGGCCTCAAGATGGCTAAAAGTATTCAAATTAATAAATTATTATGCATTACATATCATTATGTATATTGAAATGATCAATATGATATATAAAAGATGCAAATTAAACTTATTTCATAATACAATATAATATAATCAATAAATTAAAAATATTTCTTTTTCCCCCTACTCAATAACTGTTTTTAACTTTTTAACTGTTTTTAATTGAAGATGAAAATTAATGCTGTAAATGGTCTATATCATGGAGCCTTCGAATATTGTTTAGAACAATGAGGGATCTTTGAGTCAAAAAAGTTGAGAACCACTGATAAACTGTAAAAATGTTTCACTTATAACCAAAAATGAAATTATTTTTTAATCAATAATATATGAAAAAAAATAGATCAACAAAATTATTTTTTATGGGTAAGATAAGGTAGAAATATCTCTTTAAGGTAACAGCTGGCTAAGTTCAATTATGGACAGTTTAGTGAAGTTCGTATATATATAAAAAAGGAAAGTAACCAGAAGGTTGTAGGTTAAAAGCCCAGAAATGGTGATTCATAAACTATAAAGCTAACAAGTTTGCCCTAACCTCTTTTGCTTTGGAACAAGACACTTAACTTTAAATTAACCCTTGAATGATAAATAAGCAAATTGAATGTGCATTTTTGTTTTACACAAATATATTGCATATCCTCATTACATTTCTATGTTCTCAACAGACTCGCCTGGAGTGGCAGCATGTCTTTGTGATTGCTTCCATGGTGCATTACACTGGTGTGATCTTCTATGCCATCTTTGCCTCTGGTGAGAAGCAGGACTGGGCCGATCCTGAGAACACCAGTGACGAGAAATGCGGCATTATCGGGGAAGATGAGCTGGCTGATGAGACTGAGCACAACAGCGACAGTGCCCTGGCCACCAAGCAGAAGACCTATGGAACCACAGAAAGCTCTGCAGGCCGCAAGCAAAGCTGGAAGAAGAAGAGAGGCGTGACCATGCAAGCAGATGAAGATCACGGATCAAATCATTCTGAAAATGGGGAATATCAGAATCAGTATCAATGACATTTTGGTCACCAAACGCCCAAGACTGAGACCTGAGGTGTAGGAGTATTTATTTAAGTAACCCACCCTGGGAATACAACATTCCACCTGACATTTGACACAGCAGTATATTTGAGTTGTGAAGAAATATTTTGGTTGGCTTCCTTTATGATTTCACCCTGCTGTAGAAGCTGAAGGAACAGTCACATGAGAATGATCTGTGAGTAGTTTATTTGACAGCTGTAGGTAGACAGTTGAGTTGAGTTGAACTCAATTTTAAATCATAATTTTGTTCCAATGTCTTTTTATATCTACTGTACTATAAGGCTGACAGCAGAATATGCATCAGTTCTTTTTGATTTTATGTTTTGATTGTTGTCAGCTATGCAAAGAAAGCAGGTGTATAGTGCATAAACAGGTTAAAGAGTCAGAAACATTTTTCTGTGCCTCCATGGCATGGTTAGTTGTGCAGCCTCCACAAACCTCTTTGCTAAATTCAACACATCTCAGAAAATATTTTTTTATCATAAAAGTTAATAATGGTCAGAAGAGGGATGTGTATTTAGTGGAATGCCTTTGAAAAATGCAGCATGTCCGCCATTAATAACTCATAGTTCAATTTATCGTTTACATATGCGTAGGTGGAAGAGCTTATGTTTGGTTGAATATGTAGAAATTAACAATTTTAGTACTTATAAAATTGAATATGGATATCAAAAAAAGAAACAATCCGCAATGTGCCTGATTTTTTTTTTTTGCACAATACCTGCTGAAAAAATGTAATTGCTTACATGGATGTCAAGATGATTGTTTGAAACGTGCACTTTACCATTGTGTCACTGTAACTGATGTCTCTTTAAATGTTTATTTGGAGGAGAATAAAACATCTTTCAATTTATCTTTTACTTATACATTTATATGTGATAAAATATATTGCTGGCATAGTAGTGTTTTAATATAGCTCAGATAGCATGCATAATTGATTCTCTTTGGCACATACATTAGATTACAGCAGCGGCTGCTTCTGTTTAAATAGCCTTTTACACTATTAATGAGTTGAGTGCGGAACAAATGAAATCGAAGTAGACGTAACCGAGACTTCAGACTCACGACATGTTCTTTCTCAGAGAGAATAGATGCATGTTTATGCTGGGATGCTTAAATTGGCTCACTTTGTCTTTGTTGGGAGCTGACAGAACTCTCCTGGTTTCTGTCATGTGGGAGTAAACATCCTTCACATTATCACTATTCTTATGTTCACAGCAGCATTTTACAGTGTACAACAAATTAGTCTGGCCACCCAGATTACTTGGCAACAAAAATGACAGATTTTTTAAGTAATCTCTTTACTGGGGCAGGACGTTCAAATTTCACACACACAGACACACACACACACACACACACACACACACACACACTTTATCACAGAAAACAGGATGGTTTTACATAAAAAAGAAAAGAAAAAAATCTATTAAAATAAAAAATTCAAAATCAGTAATTATACATTATACATAGAATTACATTATACATATAATTATACATACATACATACATTGTATTAAAAAAATTACAGCACCCTTACTGGTGACTATCTATCTATCTATCTATCTATCTATCTAATTAAGGAGTGTGATCTCGCTTGATGGGCTGGAGTTATTTTAATATTATACTAGTTTTTATTCATATTTTGAATTAGCTTTTATTTTTATATTTTTCCTTTTAGGTTTTAATTTTAGTGTAACGTCTTGTAATTTTGTTTGCGCTTGACATTTTTATTTTTAAATCATTATTTTTTTTATATTACTATTTAGGCTTAATTTATTTTTTAGTTTACGTTTTAGTTCAGTTTTATTTTTATTGTTATTTCAGTTTGTTGCCATGCAAGGCAATATTTCTCATTTTTGTTTAGTATAAGTTTTTCATTTAAATTATTAAATTATCATTTAAAAATTATAATTCATTATATTAAAAAATTAATATATTTTAATTTCCACTTTATTTGAAGGAATAAAATAGCTTTTGGCAGTTTTACTTTCACTAAATGACCCTGTTGGGTTGCCATGTTTTATACAAGTATTTAATGATCCTCTTAATGCAAATGATATTTTATCCATTTTAGAATAGAACATTACAGAAAACATTTAATGTTAGTGCCACCATAAAATGTGCAATTTCAGTGCCATCATTATCAAGCATAAAGCTGTTATTCAGCCTTCACATTCACAGTTCCAGACCTTTTGGATCTCTAGTTCCAGTAACGTACGTATGTTTGAATTCAGTGCACCATCTTTTGATTTGTTGGCCGGGTGTTACGTGTTAACAGGTCTTTTTTAGGTAAATATTGGGAAAGTTCAAGGTTGTGGACCTTGTTATGGTGTGTAATGGCATTTTTTGTGCCACAGTCCTTGACAGCTCATGTTTAACATGCTGATATGAAGCCTCTCGTCGGTTTGTATACTGTTTGATGGTCTTATCTCTACATCTAGCTTTTATGATTTGATGTGTGGTTCTAAAACGGTAAGCACTTTTTATTTGAGATTAACTACCAGATGTCAAACAAAAAGAGGCTTTGGGTGATAGCTACTCTCCATGCTTCTCTGAAATGCAATGTTTCATGTAACTACTCAAAACGTTTCTGAGAACATTCTAGATTCTAGAATTTCAGACATTTTAGTTTGCTTTGGCTTGGGTTTATCAAACCACACAGAGAAAGATTAAGTGATGGACACCTCACTATGATATTAAACATCTTTCACATTTCATAAATAAAAGATGGACGTCCTGTTAAAAACGCCCATACTGTAGTGTCGTGTGAAAATAGCTGAAGTGTTTGATAATAGTTTTTTAATGGAGCCATGAACGTGTCCTTCTCACAAGGCCATCCATACCTCCCCCACCCTCCACTGCTCCACAAACAGCCGCCGGCCTATGGCAAAGGTTTTGTTTATTTCAGAGTGCTGTCTGTTGACTCAGAAGGGCCCTCTGTGGATGGAGCAACAGCCGGTAAATGATTAAGAGCTTGTTTTTAGATACATTTTCAATTATAGCGAGACGCTGGTCTTCATCACGTTTTGGTCAAATTACATCTCATGAGTGGGGTGTGACTCATCTAAATGTTATGGCATAGAGAACACATTATATCATCTCTGCATTTGTACACTAGAAAAAAAATGGTGTACACTTAGAAATTGCAAGTAAGATTTCACAAATAATTACAAAGAAACAGCAAGCAACATTGAATTTAACATGAAAATTTGAAGCAGAAAATATTTAGAAATAGTATTTACTTGTAAAACATACTCCAAACATCTTTATTTACAACTTTGAAAAACATTTTCATAGTGTAATTGTATTAATTGCTTCAACAAAATAAAACTAGGCTACTGATTGATTGATTGATTGATTGACTGACTGACTGACTGATGGGTGTGTTTTAGAGAAAGATATGGTAGGGGTTCTGTAAAAATATAAATAAAACGTGCAATGTTCAATTTCATTACATTTTTTAAATGTTACTATTAATTTGCTTTCAAGTAGGAAAAGAAATCATGAAGCAGAGTTGTTATTATTAGTACCATTTACTATCATAGTTTCTTAATATATTGAATTTACTTTAGTTTTTATTTTTATATATTTCAGTTTAAATTTAGTTTAATTGTTAGTAATTTTGTAATTTGCTTTTGATTTTGATTTATTTTTATTTTTCATATTAATTAATTTTTTTTTACTACTACTAATTAGGTTGTTACTTTAGTTTTAGTTTTTCACTTTTTTATTTCCAAATAGTAATTTTATAAAAAAAAAAAATAAAAAAAAATTCTGTTAGTCACCAAGGCAACATTTCTAATTTTCATTTTGTTTAGGTTTTGCATCTAAATATTTATATTTCATTTTATTTCATCGAAATAAAAGATATTTTTATCAAAAAATTATGTTTTTATTTATTTAGAGGACCCAACATAATACAAAAAGTGCAAAATACGTTAGGATTGCCAGTTCTATTTCCCCCCCCCAAAAATATAATTAGAATTAACAAGCATAATAAAGATTGTGCAACTTGTTTTGCAATTAAATTGGCTAAATATTAATATATAAATGACAATTATGAAGTATTACTAAATTACTACTAATGGACCATTGACACTCCTAATTGAGATTGTAGATAGAGTGTCAATGGTCCATTTGAGAGCTAGGTGGCGGTAATGCACTTATAAGTCTGCGATCTGCCGTAAAGCAAGAAGAAGAAGAAGACGCGTCACGCGCCGGCTGTCGAGGATGCGCTCAGGACAGTTCAGACATTGCAGTGCATCAGAGGTAAAAAACAATATAAATACTGTTCAGTTTCTTGCACAGACCGATCGTTTCGTGTCTTTAAACATCTATGTATCGTCACGAGCCGCAGGGTTTAATTTGGTTTTCTTGTGTATGTATTTTTTGACTCTCAAAGCCGTGATTCCCATTCATTTTCATTATAAGACTGACAGACTGCAACGGTTTGAGTTAAAAATCTTCGTTTGTGTTCTACTGAAGAAACAAAGTCACCTACATCTTGGATGCCCTGGGGGTAACCAGATAAACATCAAATTTTCATTTTTGGGTGAACTATCCCTTTAATTCTAGAAATTGCCAATGTCAGCCTGCCATATGTTGCAAAATGTGTCATCATCCCCGTTTATAACATCATGAGCCAAGTTGAAGTAATTGGTTATTGGGCAATTCATCAGACCCAGAAGTAGACTACTGTTCTCTTCAGCTCCACATTAAGCACACAAATATCCCACAATATGTAATATAACCAAAAGGCTATGCATAATTCTTGAACCAAACTATCGAAGACAAGTACCAGATATCAAAGTTTCCAGTGATGAGCTAAAACAGAGCAGGTGTATTTCTATCTAAACTCTTTAAATTACATGAGAGACTAGCATCATTGAGTAATGACTGTGTTTACATGAGTGTTAGGGTATGTGTGTGTGCATCTGTGGGGAATGCGTTGGGAAGAAGGGTGTGCGGTACTGGTTATCTCTCGCTATTAAGGAGGTAATGCTGCATTTGTAAGCCTGTCAGCCAAAGTTTGAAGCTGATGGGAGAGGGAGGAACTGCTAGTACTCATGAAGAGAAACAGATAGATAGTTTAATTAATAACCACTGTCCCATTTCCCCATGACCCCATCCACTCTGTCTAGTTGCTACATAGAATCAGCTTGATGCTTATTCCCAAATACTGATGGCTTCAAATATCAAGACACGACCCAGGAGCGTGCAGCGTCTGTTAGAGTAATAGGTAAGAAAATGATATTTCTGATACTTGTTACTAAAATAAATCATCTATTATAGCTTGCTATTACTTGATGATTGGGGTGATTGGGGCGAGTGTGGAGATTTATTGATTGGAAATGGCACTATGTCATGGAGACCCTCCGTGTGTACTAGCATGTAAGCTCATGGGAAATTATGGGCTGGATTTATTATAGTTTTATGAGGGAAACTGGATGTTGTGACTGATGTATCAATCAATATAACGGTTGAGGCCTGGTTTCATGGTAGTTTGCGACACCGTGGCCTCATTCACATATCCTAAATCACACCGCTGTGACTTTTCTTAAAAGAACCAGTGTTTCCTCTTGTATTATTTACGCTGGGAATGGCACTGTTGATAGAAAATGAGCATTGCTGCTGTCGCTAGAATTGCTTTGAACATAAGCACATATGCTAAAACTGATACCAAGATCAACTTTTGAAAATAAATCTTCCTTGAATGCATAAAAAACTGAAAATGAATAAATAATGATGTTTTTGTCATGAATAATTTGAAAATGATTCATATATAGCAACCTTTGTTCACACTAGCACTTATGTAGGAAGTATGAAGTTGTTCAGTAACAGAAAAAGAGACACAGACGCTGTGGACTAATTTATGAACTTTTAAGAACAAATCTTTTCTTAAATTTCTGAATTATGCAAAAATGATTCAAATATGTGGGTGATAAAACTATGAGTCAGAAACTATGAAACAAACGGAAGCGAATTTCTGTTTTTAGCAGAAGCAAAAAAGTGAAACTGTGGGACACCTTTAATTTTACAACTACGCATCAGCATGTTTTGTCCTATAGTCCGATGATATTTCTAAAAATAGACTGATCATATCTATAATGAGACTTTTCTTAAAAGAACCAGTGTTTCCTCTTGTATTATTTACACATAAGGTGGGGACATCATAAAACTGCACTGTTGAAAGAAAAAGAGCATTGCTGCTGTTTGCTGATATTTTACCTTCAACAGAATATTGCTAGAATACGGTTTCAAATGAAAGGTAGGCATGCTAATATCAATATTTTAAGAATTAATATTTTATAAGTGCATAATGTGAAAATGTATTAACCATACTGTTTTTGTTGAAAATTATTCATTTATACACACCATTAATGAGGCTTTGATAATTTATATAAAACGGGCATGAGTATTTTAATGAGGAAAAACAAGTTCACTGTGTTCAGTTTATGGTTTCTTAAAGTAATAGTGCTGTGAAGTAAAGTCATTAAAATCTTGTTTCATTGTGCTAAAAGTTAAAGTAATTAAAACCTCATTTAAAGTTCCAGTGTAGTTAAACTGTTGAAAAGTAATCTACAGTAATATTAGATTTAATTTTAGCCATATAGGTGAACACAAAATGATGTAGACGTGCTCCCTCCATACCTGTCAGGATAATAAAACGTTTTTGAAACTTAAACTAAGGAGTGTCAAAAACGTAAAGACCAGGGCCCTCATGTATAAAACTTTACGTAGATTTCATCCTAAATGTGTGCGTACGCACAAAAGCTAGATTTTGCGTACGTACAAAGTTTTCAGATTTATAAAGCCATGCGTATGCCAGAACCTGTGCAAAATTCCCTTTGTAATACCCAGTCAGCGGAAGATTGTGCGTACATAAATCTCCACCCCGTCTCCTCCCCGAAATAGCCATATATGGAGCTTACAACGCCTAATTTTAATATGCATAACGTCATCTGCATATCATTTCCATGCATATTTCCATCCACGTGACACCATGTTAAGGGTAGCCTACAACACGTTAGGAAAATATGAGATACGGACTATAAATGCGCTTTGAGACATCACTATTCTAATTTATGCAATTTGCCTAAAAGGTAAACATATATTTTAGATTGTTTATAGCCTATATTTTTATGGAAAGAGATAGGCTTTATTTTTTTGCAGTGTAAATAGTCTAGCTGTCTGACTCACCGCGTCAATAACAAAACATTTTGAAAATAAAACGAGCATATCTTACAGTTTCCTTCAAATTCTATCTTTTAAATATGGTGTTTGTCACAATATTGGGAAGAGCACAAAAGGGGTTACCATTAGGATACTGTCTGTGCGCGACACCTGTGAACAGAGGTTCTAGAGCAGTGGTTCCCAACCCTGGTCCTGGAGGCACCCCAACACTGCACGTTTTGCATGTCTCCTTAATCAAACACACCTGATTCAGGTCATCAGCTCATTAGTAGAGACTCCAAGATTTGAAATTGGTGTGTCAGAGAAAAGAGACATGCCTCTTGAGGTGCCTCCAGGACCAGGGTTGGGAACCATTGTTCTAGAGTACTGTCATCAGACATGTTCAAACCAGCCAATGTTGACTGTTTGATCAACGAGCGCATCCTTATGTCTGTCGTTACCGTCTATGTTCCAAAGCCATCAAACAGTGAAGTTCACAAAAATGATAATTATTATTCACGCAAAAGTATTTTCTCAGAACATTTGTTTTGCTAGAACACAATTTAAAGCGGAATTGTCATGCGCCAAGCAATCCTCGCTGTGATTAAAACATTAAATCGCATACCACAGAAAAATTGTTTGAAAGCAGCACATCCACTGCAAATATTTCTGTTTAAATTCATATAAAAATTTTGTAATTTCTGGATAATAATTTCATGAAATTTCAGTCCTTAACTTCATTATTCAGAGTGTCATATTTAATCTAAACGTGTATGTCAAATGTTAAACAGACTTTAAAATGTTTAAATTCATATGAAAATGTTGTAATTTCTGGATAATAATTTCATGAAATTTCAGTCCTTAACTTCATTATTCAGAGTGTCATATTTAATCTAAACGTGTATGTCAAATGTTAAACAGACTTTAAAATAATTTTGTTTGCTTCCTTATTTCGCTCCCTCCAGTAAAAGAGTGCGTACGCATGGTCTAGACTCTAGAGTGTCCGTACGGTGTGCACATATTTACGCCTAGTTTATTTTTTATAAATCCCGATATGTGCGTGGAAAATTGCGTACGCACATTTCCATGCCCATTTTGTGCGTACGCAACGTTTATAAATCAGGCCCCTGGCCTTAAAGAAAAATGAATCTGAGCTGAAATACTGTGGAATGATACCATAATATTTTGAATAATCCAAAATAAGAAGGTAGGTAGTTTAGCGTTAAGAAACATGGAAAAAGCAGATATTATAAAAACCAGTGCCAGACTGTACAGTCCAGAGTTGAAACTGGAGCAAAGGTCACTGCAATCAACTGTAGCATTTCCAGTTGAAAAAACAATCATTTGTTAGAATACTATGTTCTAGATTTCGGATATGACTTCAGGACCTTGTCCTCCTAATCTCAAGGAAATCTAAATGAAATCTGAATGATGTAGTATAAAACTTCGCAAGTTAACTTCAATCAGTGATTTTTTTTTTCTTTTAGAAGCAGTATCTAAATCAATTTAAGTGACGTGTTTTACTATATTGCGTCAATACCTTAATTTGCAATAAAAACTGCCTCCATTTGTAAGTAAAGCAACCACTTCCTCCATTTGTTACTGTCTTGAAGAAACAAGATTAACCCCATCATTCACTTCCATCCTGGACTGAGGGATCTTTGGACGCCAAGACTTAACACACAGGCTTCTGAATGAATGAGTGGGTGGGCCATGACGTCAGTGTGGTGGGACCTTTACAGATCCCACCCAGTGATGCGTTCCCCCTATCAGAGAGCTCACACTTTTTTGGTGAGTATATTGGAAATTCACATTCATTTCTTTCCTATGTTATGCTAATGTTATCTTTGCCATGGTGGGTGATGAAATACAGGTGCATCTCAATAAATTAGAATGTCGTGGAAAAGTTCATTTATTTCAGTAATTCAACTCAAATTGTGAAACTTGTGTATTAAATAAATTCAATGCACACAGACTGAAGTAGTTTAAGTCTTTGGTTCTTTTAATTGTGATGATTTTGGCTCACATTTAACAAAAACCCACCAATTCACTATCTCAACAAATTAGAATACTTCATAAGACCAATAAAA